TCAGTAAATACAGATTCACGTCTTCCTTTTAAACGCTCACAGGGTAATTCACTGTATAAATGTCCCAGAATGTAGTTAGCCTGTCTCTAATAGATGGCTTTCCATTTTACTCTAACCATGTAGGGTCATTGATACCAAACTCGAAAAATTGCTAAGAATTTCAAAGCAGAACAATTCCATTTGTTTATTCACTTATTCATTACCTCCTTTTAACCCAAAAGAGTGTAAAATTGCTTCTAACAATTGTGTATACAGAATAAACAGACAAGTAGCAATGAGAAAATTGGGATCAGGGGAAGGGGAGGCACCAATGTTGTGACTGAGATTAGGGGGTGAAAGGGCTAGCTAGCTTGGTGGTCCCAGAGGCTGTATTACAGTCAATCAGATTTGAATTTCTGATCTGATCTGTGCTCTCCAAGATAATTCCATTTCTAGCCCCGTTACAGCTTTTCTGAGGCTATTCGGGCTTTGGTTGCCTGCCTTTCATCTGACATTCAAGTTTTCTTCTCCTTCTGTGGGCTGGTTGGTATTTAAGAGATCATCTTGGCATATGTGTGTGTGTGGAGCGAGAGACAGAGAGAGAATCTCCTCTGCTAGTTATACTTTAAGCTTTGTACGTTTAATTTTTTGCTTGGCAAATGCATGTATGGATCCTGGCGAAGGTCTCAAATTAACCAGCATCCTCCTCTCACTTCCTTTAAGTTCTGTGCGCTCCACAACATTCCTCCCACCCCTAAAGCCCTTATTGCACTTCTTTCTCTGGGTGCTGCTTGTGATGGGAAGCCATCTAGTCTTCATGTCAAGTTTACAGGATGAGTGCAAACTCATAGAAAATCTCAGGATTATTCCACAGAACTGAACCCATTATCCATAGTACTTCTCCCTCCCTCCTTGCCTTTCTCTCTTCCTTTTCTTATTTTTCCACCTCAAAAACCTCCATGGCTTTACCCTTTCACTTTAAGTAAAAGTCATTGTCATTAGCTATGGTCAAGTCAACCCCTGACTCATAGAGACTCCCTTGTGACCTATAGGGCTTTCGTTGGCTGACTTTTGAAGTAGATTTCCAGGCCTTTCGTCCTAGTCTATCATAGTCTGGAAGCGCCACTGATATTTGTTCAGCATCAAAGCAACACAGAAGCCTCCACTGACAGACAGGTGGGGGCTGTGCACGAGGTCTACTGGCCAGGAATCGAACCTGGGTCTCCCACATGGAAGGTGAAAATTCTGTGCTGAACCCCGGTCGTTGTTGTGTGCTGTCAAGTCCATTCGGACTCATAGGAACCCTCTAGGACAGGGTAGAACTGCCCCAGAGGGAGTCCTAGACTGGAATCTGTACGGGAGCACATCCCCAGGCGGTTTCTCTCCTTTTGTCAGGCTGTAGAGAGACTGCCAACAGGGGGAGCAGTAAACTCTTGGAGCTGTGTCTGTTTGGGGAAGACAGTGGGGAACACACTTGCCAAATAGTGTATTTCACTAGGTTATGTATGTCTGAAAAAGAAAAACACCACCAAACCCATTGCTGTCAAGTCAATTTTGACTCATAGCGACCTTATAGGACAGAGTAGAACTGGGTTTCCAAGGAGCGGCTGGTGGCTTTGAACGGCTGACCTTTTGGTTAGATGCCGTAGCTCTTAACCACTGTGCCACCTAGTAGAAAGTAAATGGAGAATTTAATTTTATACATTAACAATTTAGATACATTTTTTTCCAATAGTTTAAAATTATTTTTCTCTGGTAATTGAATTAATAATGACATGTAAACTTGGCATTATTTTACCGAAAATAATGCATTACATCCAAATGCTGACATGGTCAGATTAGGGTGAGTGACATCCTTCTTTTCTCTATTTCCCATATTTTTTTATTTTGTAATTTTTAATGAAAAAGGGGAATAAGATGAACCAAAAATAATATATTTTAAAAGCCAAGCCTTGTCCCCTTGCATATACATTCATCCAAAAATATATATCCAATAAGCAACATCCTGATAAATGGAGAACAGATGGAAGTTGTCAAGAATTTCATTTTACTTGGATCCACAATCAACGCCCAGGGAAGCAGCAGTGAAGAAATCAAATGACTATTGCAATGGGCAAATCTGCTGCAAAAGACCTCTTTAAAGTGTTAAAAAGCAAAGATGTCACTTGGAGGACTAAGGTGTGCCTGACACGAGCCATAGTGTTTTCAGTTGCCTCATATGCATGTGAAAGCTGGACGATGAATAGGGAAGACTGAAGAGGAATTGACGCCTTTGAATTACGGTGTTGGCGAAGAATATTGAATATGCCATGGACTGCCAAAAGAACGAGCAAATCTGTCTTAGAAGAAGTACAGGCAGAATGCTTCTTAGAGGCAAGGATGGTGCGACTACATCTCACGTACTTTGGACATGTTATCAGGAGGGATCAGTCCCGGGAGAAGGAGAACATGCTTGGTAAAATAGAGGGGCAGTGAAAAAGAGGAAGACCCTCAACGAGATGGATTGACACAGTGGCTGCAACAATGGGCTCCAGCATGAGAACAATTGTGAGGATGGCGCAGGACCAGGCAGTGTTTTGTTCTGTTGTACGCAGGGTCACTGTGAGTCAGAATCGACTTGATGGCACCTAACAACAACGACAAAAATATTCTGATCCATTTCATACTTAACTAAGAATCCTTCTCATCTTTCAAATGCAAATTTAATTTAGATAAATATGGAGTGATTAATATTTTAGGAGGTAATTAGAGCTGGAAGGAGCCCTGGTGGCATAGTGGGTAAGTGTTGGGCTGCTAACTGAAAGGTTCACAGTTCGAACCCAGCAACCACTCTGTGGGAGAACGATGTGGCAATCAGTTTCTGTAAAGATTACAGCCTTGGAAACTCTGTGGGGCAGTTCTACTCTGTCCTATAGGACGGCTATGAGTTGGAATCGACTCGATTGCAATGGGTTAATTAAAGCTGGCATTTTTGGTGGGGGAGCTACAGGAAGTTCTTACGAATCAAGACAATTTGCTATTGTAAACTGGGTACTGTGTCTAATCCTTTAAAAGCAGATTACTTAAATCTGCCTTACTGAACTAGAATCCTAATTGAACTTTTCAGACCTCCCTGCTTTATATAATAGTCGTGATGTAACACTTCCACAGATAATGTAGCTTTGAAATATTAAATTCATCACGGCTTCTAAAAGGAAATTGAACGAAGGTGAATTGAGAGCACGGGTTTCAGCTCTGAGCTGCCTGATGGGCTTCCATTCCTGTGACCGCAGCGCCCTCGTGTGGTGAAATGCGTCCAACACTACATCACCTGGTCATAACCCATCAGAGATCAGTCCCTCCTTGGGGTTAGCCAAGTGCTATGGTTGTCCAGCGCTTTTACTGTTTGAACCAAACCAAAACCAAACCTGTTGCCATAGAGGCGATTCCGAAGCATAGCGACCATATAGGGCAGAATATAACTGCCCCACAGGGTTTCCTGTTTGAACAGAGCTTGTAATAAATCTTGCTAGGATATGGTATTTCCATTTGTTACACGCTGTGTCCTCACTTTTTACAAGGGTTACGTAGTTCAGGTTCATTGGTCAATGGTTGTTTGGAATGTGAAATTTATTTCCACACAGATTATCGTTGTTAGGCGTCGTGGAATCGATTTTCGACTCATAGCAATCCCATGTGACAAAATAGAACTGCCCTATAGGGTTTTCTAGGCTGTAATCTTTATGGGGGTAGATCGCCAGGTCTTTCTCCTGCACCACTGGGTGTGTTTGAACCTCTGAGGTGAAGGCTAACAGCAAGTACTCAACCATTGCCCCATACAGAAAAGGTTTGGCAAGTGATGGCTGGGCCCCAGGGCATCCACAGAGCCCTCCTCACCTGTGAGATTCCAACTTTAAAAATCAGCAGATCTCAGCAGAGACAGCCATGGGCACCTCCAGGGTAAAGAATGACAGTAGCTTTCTTATTAGCAAGAGAGACCTGTGACTTTATAGAGCTCTCCATAACCGTTCTCATTTATATCATTTCATATTTTGTATCATATCATAGTAATTACAAATAATTGTAGCAATTGTATTACATATAGTCTACATATGGAGGTTATGTAGATTATGTAATATACACAATTCTTTTCATAAAATGCATAATAGTAATCATAGTAATTATAACAATTATAGTAACTATAGTACAGATAACCTACATAACCTCCATATGGGACAGAGGAGAACTGCCCCATAGGGTTTCCAAGGAGCTCTGCCAAACGGCCGGCCTTTTCATTGGCAGTACACTCTCTCTCTCTAAAACAGTATATGGTTGAAAGCTGGGTGGTTAAAAGCCCTGCCTTCAGAATCAAAAAGGTTTTCAAATCTAGTTACCCTACATTCTCCTAGTGTGACCCCAGGAAAATTTTGTAATCTTTCTCGAGGCCTCTGTTTCTTCATTTTAAACGGGATCATAATAGTTTACCTACGTCAAAACTGTGAGGATTGATCGAACCAGAGGCAAACATTGGCCGTGCTCGTAGCTGGAGGTGGGAAGGAGCGGCCAGTGAAGGCCGGGACCCTGTGGCAGGCAGTCTGTGTGTGGAGGTAGATGTGCTGACTGTGTGAACCTTGTAACTGACTTCCCTTGGGTGACGTCTTGCTCATCAAAGAACTCCCAGATTTTAAGTTGGTTCCTGTTGTAGTTTAGCTATAAGGGAAGAGTGGGCCTGTCCTGAAAACTACATTCCTCCTTGTGTATCAATAAATTGGCTATCTAGTTAATTTATTAGTTAGTTAATTTATGATTCTCATGGCAAACTGTCTGCTTAGAGAAGATCCATTCTTGCTGTGCTGACAGAGAGGTGGACCCTGGTCTCACCAACATGCTGCCTCCCTCTGGGTCCCGTGGGGGGATCCTTCTTGGCATCCTGTTACGCTGCTTTCCTCTGCTGGTTCTATAGTTAGTCCCAGCTGAAGAGTAAGCCGCTGTAAGGACAAATGAAGTCTGGATTCAAGAGGAAAATTTCTCTTTTCTCCTAGGATACCTGGGATGCACTCCTAATTGGCAATGTGGAACTGAAAAAGGTTATGGCTTGCCCCAGGTAAGGAATCTTTCCAGACGAAACCACTGGGGTGCAGTGTGCCCTTTAAACCCACTGCCACCGAGTCAGAGTCCAACTCATAGCCCTTTGGGTCTTAGCAAAGAACCAGCGCCTCAGCCTTGGTTATTACTTGACAGGTGCATCCTGACCACTGTGGACCCAGACACTGGAGTCATAGACCGGAAGGGGCCCCTGGAGACCCTGAGGAGGTGAGACACTGAGTGTCCAGCGTGTTTTCCATAGTATCACCGTCCTGGAACTACCTGTGGGTTTAGTGCTGTGTCTGAGCCTTGCGTTAAGTGGGTATGGCCTGTCTGTTGGGGACCATCTTCCACTCTGCCTTCCTGGTGTTTGTGTCCCTCGGTTAATGCAGGTGGGTCCTTGTTGCTTCCTCTTTCTCCCTGGATGGACCTTCTAGTACTTTTCAGAAATCTCTGATGGTATAATACTATGTTTTTAAATCCTGATATCTCTGTGTATCGATTTTTAGTAACATTTACGTGTGCTTTTCCAAATTAAGACCTCAAATGCTTTAATTATTTTTATTGCCAGGTCAAATTTCTTTATTAGAACCAATATCAAGTAATAGGAGAGTAATTGAATCGTATGTATAACATACACAATATATATTGTGTATATAATAATAATACTTGTATAATGAAGTATTAGGAAAAAGTGGAATGTAATGAGTTACCAGAGATTGTTTATGCAGGAGCTTCTGTTATGCCAGTGTTTTTGTTTTGTTTTGTTATTTAAAGGATTTTGGCTGAGATTTTAGTTCTCAGCATAGACGTATTTTTAAACCTAAGTCACCGTTTTTGCGCGCTGTGTTCTGTTGTTCCCTTCTTTTGTGTGTTGTTTGCTTGCTGCCAGTAGGTGTAGATGAGGGAAGAGGCTTTCAGGGTTATTTCTTGAGCCCTTCAGATTTACAATTCTATCTGGATTTTGGGTTTTTAAGATGCAGTGACATTACTAAATTTTTTTTTCTTCAGGCAAGCCTGTTTTTTTAAAAAAATAACTTCAGCAATAGTTCAGATCTACATGCCAACTGCACCATTGTCTGAATTTTTGTCCACCAAAGAACCCCAGCTTTGGGCTTATATCCTTGGAGGAGATTGACATCATCACGTTTTGATGCATTAAATAGAGACTTTGGAGAAGTCAGGGCATTTTGAGAGTCCATGAGCATTTAGTTCAATGAATGGTAAAGTTGAAGGTACACACATAAAGTATTTATTTTCAGTAACACATATAAGTATTAATTTTAAGTAATGCATATACATGTTTTTCATATTGCTTCAAACTGCAGCCATGGAAAAACTGTTTAGACCCTCAGGATTCTTCCAGAAAAGCCAGGATTATTTGCAGTTTGACTTCTCTGTCCCACAGACTTCCCTGCCAACATTTTAGAAAAACCTTGCTTCTTATTTTTAAAGAACCTGAGTGTGGAAGATGTGAATCTTGTTAAGGGAGCATGAATCGATTTCCTTTCTGTGCCTAATGATGAATTTTTGCTTCTTTCAGCTACCGCCTGTGTGATCCCTCTGAGAGGCATATATACAAGTCGTCCCCACTTTTTGGGAGCTATTATTTGGTGGAGAAACTCGGAAGCCTGAAAGTTGGTGACCCCGTGTATCGGATGGTATAGTGACAGATCCCCTAGGGTGACAGGGCAAAAGGTCAGCTTTGCTTCTGGAACACAGTGTTTTGAAAGCTACTGGCACATTTTCTTGTGTTGAGATGTTTTTATGTTTTGGTGGTTTTACACTTAGGGGAGTAAGCAGTTTGTATCTGGAGTTGGAGAATGCTCCTTATTTCTCTTCCTCCCAGAACCTGTGTATCTCTCCCCTGACTCTGCCCGCCCCATGTTCTCACTCAGTTTTAAAATGCTGGTGCCCGGGTCCCGGCAGAAAAACAGGTCCCCAGTTCATGAAGGAATACCTTTAAAAAGCAACTTGGGACACATGTTCAATCAAAGGTGCTTGATCAAATATATATTTTTAAATGTAACTTAAAGTTTGAAAAATAAAATCAGTGCATCTAGGTAACTGAACCTTGAGTCATGATATAGAAAATGTTGTCACATTGATTTCACTGGGTCAGATTAAATGCTGGCTCTTGGCACGACACCTAACCCTCACATTATGGGAATGAGAAAGTTGGTGGGAAGACCTCCAATTGAAGTTTTAAAGTAGTTCTTTTCGTAAAATCCATAACCCAGTTCTTAAAGTCACCTTATTGCTAAAACTCTTGACCACCCTTCTAAGTCTGGCCTGATGGTCTCACCTGTGGTTACCTGCCCTTCTAGCCTTGACATCCGCTATCTCCATCATCCTTAAGGACAGTGTAGGATAGTGGGTAATACTAGTCTAGATCTAGTACTAGATGGATTTAGGTTCATAATCTTGCCAACTCCTTCTCCTAACTTGATCTTTATTTAGGCTTGCTAAGTCTCAGTATCCCTATCTGTAAAGTGAGAATAATAATGGTATTAGATGCCATAGAGTGACCCCATGTGACAGGGTAGA